GCACTTTTTAGGACTGCGGTAGAAAGTTGAGGCACGTTGAGAAAACCCACGCAGAAATCCCCCAGCCGACCAGCAGGTTCATCTGTGCAAACCACCGCACCGCTGTTTCAACCTCCAAATTAGCTGTACGGCTCTATGAGAACTGGCTCAATAGTGTCTTTTGATAAAAATGGGAAAGATGATGAAAACTCTTTGTTCGAGAACATTTTGCTCCAAAAGCCTCATCATCAAAGCAGGGTCCTGTGGAGACATTGCAATGAATGGAAGGACTGACTCATGCGTTCTGTTCCAGTTAGACCTCTCTCACGATGTTGTCAGTTTCTATACAAAGTGTATGCTATGTGTTTTTAATTATCATGTTTATGGTGTGTTTTCCTGGTTGTATATTTACTCTCCTGTTTTTTTCCTCCCAAATACTTTTTTCAGGCCAGAAAGCACATTTTGGAGATTCACACACGGGACTGGAATCCCAAATTGGCTGAGCCATTTGTAGATGAACTTGCAGAAAAATGTGTCGGTAAGAGTGATTCTAAAGTGTAAAATCATATGCAGTGTCCAACTTCACCTAGGGTTAATGTTGACCTACAAAATGTTCTCCCAGCAGCCTCAGAGCTCTTGCTTGGTACAGCGTGCTCGTGTTGTCTGTGCCAAAAGAGCCCCCGTAAAGGCGAAAGCAGCAGAACAAATGACTAACTAACCTGTGTTTATCTGCTTTGCTCCCAGGCTACTGTGGTGCTGACATCAAAGCACTTTGCACAGAGGCAGCCTTGGTGGCGCTGCGCCGCCGCTATCCCCAGATCTACGGCAGCAGCGTCAAACTGAAGCTGGACGTCACCTCCATCGTCCTGGGGCCTGGCGACTTCAGCAAGGCGATGAGGACTATTGTCCCAGCCTCCCAGAGGGCCCTGGCTCCCCCTGGCCGGGCCCTGTCCCCCACCCTCCGGCCCCTGCTGGCCAGCTCTTACTCCTTGGTGCTGAAAGCTCTGCTCCGAGTCTTCCCCCATGCTCAGTGTACTGACAGGGACAACACACACGGTAGGGATCTGGCATCCGAGGCACCTGTGGTTTGTTTTCCTGCCGCTGGTTGTTGCTCGTCCCACCTTGACTCTTGCTCTTTTCTCTCTCGCCACCTGTCTCACTCCGCCGGTTTGTTTTTCCTGTCGGCGCTTTGTAGTATTTGATTATCTGTTTCTCTGAACCTAGAATCTGTGGTGAAACATCCCCCCAGTGTATGCAGAGGTGATAGCGCATAGATTGGATAACTAGTCATCCTGTGAGCGCTTCAATAACTCAACTCCCACTCCAGTCAACAAAAGAGTGTTTACAACAGATTAGCCTCAATGCAGCACTTGACCAGTGGGGGATTGCTTGTAGGAGCTGTACTTCTTAGACCCAATAATGACATGAAATTCCCGTGGTGCTTTATCACTTTAAATGGCCATTAGATCTCCCCTAGTAACCAAGCTCTCTTTTTATTCTCTCTTTTGTAGGGAATTAGCCTCATTAATGTCAGCGATAGGGTTACTTTGAGGATTAAACTTTGTAGAAACAAACTTTTCCATCTGTTTGCTGCCACTGTACTGAAAAAACAGCAGGAACAGTGAGCTGCTGCTGCGTGTTCATGGCTCTGTAAGCAGTGTTCCTCTCTGTGCTAGGCGGTGACAATCATCTGCTTGAAGAGGACTTTTACAGCGACGATGACAATGAGGACGGCTCTGCTTCCATCTATGAAGTCCAGCCTGCTGCATCCCCAAAGAGTCACCTCTCCTCTTCTGCAATGCACAGACCCTTTCTCCATTTTTCCTCGTGAGTTCTCACATTGTTTTTTATTGGAACCTATACTTGTGTACTTGGTGTATAAACTGGTGCGTATTCCCTGGTGACTAATTACGCGACTGGAAACTACCAATAACATTTTTAAAGTAATTGTTATGTGAGAATAAGTAGGTTTTTTGTCATGAGGAATTCAGCTCAGGTATCTGAACCTCCTGAACCATAAGCGGTTTCTGGGCCTTTTTTTTTTTGGCACATTTTTTATTCACAATGGATTCATTTTTCGTGGAAATACAAAACCTTGCACCTTTTTGGAAACTGCAACCGAAGAGAACTCAAAAATGTTATCTGTGCCGTGTAACAAAGTTATAAAGACATATTATGAGATAAGATTTTTTTTTCCAAGTCCC